CAGTTATCGAGAAAAACGGTTTACATGTCCCTATCCTAACGTTTCAAGTTCTATTTAGTGGTGTTAAAAACTATTGAATACTGAGTGATTTAATCAGCTGATTTTTAATCACTCTGTATTAAATAATTTTTAACACAACTAGAACTTGAAAAGTAAAGATAGGGACATGTAAATTGTTTTTTCTCTAAAGTTTAAAAAACGTTATTTTTAAGTATCTGTAGATCCTTTACTATTCACACTAGATAGTAAGTGTGGTATATCAGTGAAATCAGATCAAGTAGATTTGAAAAACATAAATATATATATAGGATGTCCCATTTAAAATTGTGGAATGAAGTCGGTGCAACACTTTTCGGACATCCTGTATCAATAAAAACTAACTAATTAAAAAAAAATGTTTAAAACCAAGAAACTTTTGTTTCAACATTTTTTTTTTCTAAAGTCGGTAGTTTCTGAGAAAAGGAGAGGCCCCCAATAAAATGCCCATCCTGTACCAACTATAGTATGTGATGTTTGTTTTCAACTATAATAGTTTGTTTTTCTGGTCCAGAAACGTAAAAACGTAGTCCGATGTAGCCTAGGTATACAATAATAATTATATAATCGCATTCCTGGCAATACATGAAACTACGTGGCATTATGATAGCAGTACAATGGTATTACTGGAATTACGTGGTATTACGTTGGCATTCCGAAAATTGTTGGGATTATCCGAAACATTACCACTAAAAATGCCGCATTACGATGTAATGCGCAACACATGTACAAATTTTGGTCCAGTTGTTAACCCCTCGGACTTATACACTTTTCAAAACGAAAATCCTATGAACTTTTTTGATAAACCCTTGTATATCTAAATTAGTAAGTTTCCAGGAGTTCGCGATTTTGCAACATCACGAAATACCGTGCCTATCCATCTCATTGATAACGCTGAGCTAATACGAAGAGTGAAGAGGGTCAACACTTCTGAATTAGCTTAAGTGATAGTGACAAATAATCAAAGCACATTTAGTGCTTGATTAGATGTAAAAAGGGCGTAATAGATCAAGCTGTTATACTAAAATTAATATACCTACAGGGTATCTCAAAAGTTGTTTTAATTTTAAATATGTATTTATTTGAGGAGTAAATCATCTAATGGAAAATGGTTTTTGCTATTATCTGCCGTAATTTCTTTATTGTCAGTTAATAATATCTATGTATATTTTTCTTTTATTGGTATTCTCATTACTGAACACCTAACTTTATCCTTTAATCCTTTATTGTCATCCATCCCCTTTTTTATTCCTTTTATGTTCAGTTTTTTTTTTTCTTTTAAGTTTCAGACGACCTTATCACTCAATAATATTCTGTAGAATTTTAATTCCAGGCAATTTTCATTTTCTGCAGAGTTTTCTTTGTCCTAAGAGTGCTAGGTATTGATTTCACCAATTAATGTTTATTCTTATTTTTTATTCTTTGTTCGAGTTACCTCTATTTTTATTGTGCTACATTTCTTCACCATTTTCCTCCCGCCTTTTTACCATTAACCATTATTCGAAATTAGTAATTTGATCAACAACCAAAACATTTTTTCAATTACCACAGCTAAATAATTAAACAAATTCTGGATGGAAAGGATTTACAATTTAAAAATTGTATGTTTAAAAAATTACCATACGCATAAATAGCAATAAAGGTAAGAATTTATTTGTTTTTAATTATTATTTTTATCCCTGAACCAAAAAATCCAACATCATACAGACACACTACTCATTGATATAAACATAAGCTCAATTTTTAATATAATAAACTTTTAAAAACAATTCAAAACAGACAAATCCTTAAATCTCAATTAAAATACATGGAACAACTAAACTAAAATTATTCTCTTGATTGTGTGATATACCTACTTACATGTCGATGATTGAATCTGGATCTGGTATTGACATGGTGCAGTGTGTAGGTTTGTATTTTTTCGATGTTAATGAAAAAATAGCAGCTCACGAGCTGCCACTGGTTGTGTCTGCCGGGAATATTTCCAATAGAAGCGACATGCGACACCACTAAAACGAGAGTTTCTGCCTTTAATTTGTTAGACAATTCGTACCTAGACTAGGTAATTCTAGAAGTACCGTAGAAAATAATTTTGGCATTTTAATAAAAATATTAAATATCAATGGAAAAACAGAAAGCGACGTAGCAACGTTACTTTTTTTGATGAGCTGTTTGCTAAGAACAACTTTGATAGTGTCAGTATTACACGAAGTGAGCGTTTTGTATCTTACATAGTCACCCCCAATTTAAAAAAAAAACTGAAATAATATTTATTTACATATGTGCACCTACCTATGAAAAGAGTATCTTCTCCTCAGTACTCTCAATTGTTTTGTATTCTATGAATTGACAGTTCGTGTAGCATCAAAATATTTGAAAATTAAATAGGTATTTGTAAATGTACGTTTATTATGTTAATAAAAGTGTACAAATATTTAAATTGTTTACATTAGTTTTTGTTTTCTGAATATATCTGTCAATATATCTTGATATGGAAACTCCTGAAAATTTACCACTTTTCTTTCAGCTTGGTCCTAACCAGAGATAACAGAAGATATAGCTCTTCATATAGTTTTGGTGCAGCCAACATTAATACCATACTCGATACCATCCAGTTGGAAATGAGGAGTGAAGAGACATGTGATAAGAGGTAAGAGAGGGGAAAAACAGAAGGATTTTACCATGGAGACTACACAAGGAGCACGCACTCAAGTGTTGCATTTGCCAGAGTATGTCCGCGCTTTATCGTATAAATAAAGCTTTCTTTTTTCACCACTAGCGTCGCTAATTTTTCTTTTGTACCGGTGTGAATATAGAGGAATAAACAAATGTGAAGTTAGCGTGAAAATAAAGTAACCGATTATTTAATTAACGTAAACACGTGTCAAATGTTTTTAAATTAAATAAATATAATTAGAGTTATAATTAATTAACTACCGCCTCATTCTCTTATGCCATTTTGGTACTTATGGAACACTAGCGCCCTCTTAAAATACTCTGTTTAACACAGTACACTTGTTATACATGGAGTGCGTGCTCCTTGTGTAGTCTCCATGGATTTTACGATGGTATAAAACAATTTTATCAATGCATATGTGTAAATGCTTGCACGCTTATTATAAACAATGTAGAAAATGCAAGCCAGTGCAAGCCCCGTTGTCACATTTAGTACTAAATAATTCATATCCAACTTAACATTACCTTTGAAAATTATTAAAATCTAATTTAGTGAAATTACAATAATTTAGGTTGAATGACCTATTTTAGCTTTTATAAGATATGTAAAAAATTTTGTTAACAAACCGAGAATAATGAAATAAGTATGACAACAGCGGATAATATGCCCTCCTCTGTTCCTTCCTTAGAATATGCCTTATTCACTACAGCACGATATTTGTTTGTAGTTAGATTCTAACTCTCTTCTTTTCTCTTAACCCACGATTCTTAATTATTTTCAAAAATGCATATCTACCTATTCTATTTTTTCTATCATAGTCGCTTCGCATCTGTTTGGATTTTATTCCCAATTAATTTGTATTTACTGTTTTGGTTTTTCTTTTATATTCCTCTTGTATCTTTTTTGATTTTATTTTAATATCACTGTAATTTTTATTTATTATGTCATTATTTATTTTCTTCTCCTGTGTTTGTTTTAGTTTTATTCTAATTTTACTTTTATATTTACACAAATCTTTATATTTCTTATTTTTTGATCTAAATGTTACATTTTTTCTTTTATCTCGTTTTTATTTTCCTCTTTACTTTGTTCCCTGTTTTATTTTATATTTTTTCTCATTTTTTCTTTATTTCTTCTCTGATCTATTTTGTTTTTCCATATTTACTTCATTTTCTACATTTTGAATCTGTTATTTATTCTTCATTACTTTCTTTTTATTCAATTTCAGGTTTTTATGTATTCTACTTCTGTATTTACTTCTTTATTCTACCTGTTTCTTTCAACTTAAGTGTAAAGGTTAAAGAAAAGGTCCTTTATTTCTCACAAGTCAAAGATGACTTGTGAGAAATAAAGGACCTTTTCTTTAACCTTTACACTTAATCCCTACTACTCACATATGGCTACCCTCACTCCAAATCTTTCAACTTATTTTGCTTCCATATTTTTTCTTCCTTATTTAATTGCATTTTTTCCTATTGACGTTACATTCTTCCAATTTATATCTTTCTTTTTTTATTTTCTTTGTTTCTTTACTATGTGTTTCTATAATTTCGTTAATTTTCTTAATTATTTCTTCTTTATCTTGTTTCATATGTATCTCCTATTGCTCTCTTAAATCTGATTTTTAAGTATATCAATATTATTAGCCTTTCTGTTTTCTTATCAATTTTTTTTATCCGTTTTCCTACTGTTTTTATCCATTTTCTTACTGTTTTCGTCTATTTTCTTCATCAGTTGTTGTTATTGTTATCCATATTTTCTCATTTCTAGCAAAATTCTATTAAATCATACTTCTCTTTCTTTCATACTCTAATATGCAGTTCTATATTTTTCTTCTCCTGCTATTTTTCCTCAGTAACTGTATCTTCTAAATCTTGCTGTTCTATATCTCCGTCTTAGCTCTATCCTATTCTCCCATTAAACCAATCTTCCTTCCTTCTCGCATGTCCATCTAATTTTATCACTTACACAATTTTAATTTAAAACTTTTACCCAGCACCTTTATTTACTATTTCTATATGTTATTTTAATTTTTTTCCTTTTTCCAATTTGATTTCTATTATTTACCCCATTATCACTTGTCTTCAATACTGTACAAACATCAGACATATTCAAACTATACACTATTTTTAATTGCTTAAACAATCTTATGTACACTATACTCCTTCTAAACCAAAATCAATAATTTAAATAAAAGAAATTTCAAATTCCAAATGTATTCTACAAATAAGATCTAAGATTTTCGAGTTCTCCCTTATAATTTTGCCCCACGTTGGCTGGCGACACTTTATATGGAAATACCCAGTTTAATAATTTTATTCTTTCCAAGTCGTTCTCCATTTCTAAAAATAAAAAAAAATAATTCTCATATTTTTTCTGCTCTAATGAAATCTGATCTGTATTTGGATTTTAAGTTTTCGTTCCGACAGTTTTTAATGTATGTACACTCCTTATTCTGTACTTTTGGAAACATTTTAAGGGCACCATATTAATAATTTGTCAATTGTTTAAATTGCTCGGAATAACCATGGGTTTTTACCCATCGAAGTAACGGATTTGCGGTTTTAAACAACTAAATAAATGCACCATTTCATTTAGCTTTAAAACAGTCATTCGAAAATTTATAATTAACAAGTTTAATTCGCAGGCTTTGAAGATTCAATAACGAGTATCGACTATAACTTATGGACTCAATTACCTTAAAATCCAGGCACAAATCAAATTGCTATTCAGCCCGTGTTGTTACATCGCTAATTACACCCATGTAAAATTACTGTTTAGCGGAATATTCAATTGTGCCCTTTCAGCTGTAGAACGACAATTACGGGGACATATTGTTTAATTTTAGTAATAAATTGAAATTACTGAAATAATGGAGCAGTAAATTGAATATGCGTCATGTGTATGGTGTTTAGAAGCATTCATTGTAATATAAGGTGTATTTTTGTATACAAATTGACATTTTATTATTTGAATCATATAGGGAAGAATGCATATTGTATGTATTTCCAACAACATTTCTATTAAATGGGGTTTTGTTCTAAAATTCACCTCTTAGGTTACAGTATGCTTCTGATAGATCAAGTAACTAGACCAAAAACTGAGCATAAATAATATAAATATAAAGCATAAATGGAACTGATAAAACTAATAAAATTTTGTAAAATGTCAGTAAAGTCATTTTATTATTAGAAACTCTTGTAGATTAGAATTTGGTTTTCCCGTATCTACAGAAGGCATATCCTTTATTTTTCATTTAAATTTAATAGTAATTTTTGTTTCCGTATTTTCATCATTTTCTTTTATACGTGGAGATATGCAGTTTATAATTACAGGGTTATTGAGTTATTATATCCAAGTGGCCCTATCCACGACCCTTTTTACTAAGCTTTAATCACTGTACAAACAACGAAGGGACTCAAACACCCTTTATGGGACCTGTGATATCAGCAGTAACAGAATACTAATAGGAGAAATTAAAAAATAATTGGTCAGTAGAAAAATCCATAATTGGAACAGGTCACGAATTCTAACAGGAATCCTTACTGGGCATTGCCGACTCAAAGAACATCTCAGTAAACTGAGAGTAATAGAAGATAGTGAGTGCAGATTCTGTGAGGAGAAGAACGAAACATCCATTAACATTCTGAGTGAATGTGTAGCACTCTAGAATCCAAGTGGACTATACTGTTATAGTTCAAAATTCACTTTAAATACTGAGATGTTTTTACCAAATAAACTAATATAAAAGACTTAACTTTTAATTAAATTCATTTTATAATTTTATTATACTCTATTAAAAGAACATTCCATGTACTAGCTTTGAAGTTTCTTTTTATGATAGGAGTTCCATTCCTCATGGTCCATGAGTTAACTAAAATAAAAATATATCTTCATAATTCCATTGCCAAAGTGATTTAAAAGAAAAGTTTATTCAACCTTTTATCTGGTATTTCCTCGGTGCTTTGTAGATAATTTCTAATTTTCTTTTTTACATATTTTCATTGTGTTCTCGAATAGTTTGTGGTTAGGTTCTAGAAAAGCTATAAATGATTTAAATTAGTGAAATGGTTTCATGTTAATTTTCTTTTATTTACATTTATACTGACATTATTAAATAATTAAAGCCCAAGATAAACTGGATATTCTTGAAACTAAGTAGGTAATAGGGTAGAGATATTTTAATGTACGACATCAAACAATAGAGTATCCACTTTTTTAACGATTGTAACATCATATTAGAAAAACAATTTGGATTCAGAGAAGGTTTATCAACAAATGATGCCATAGGAAAATTTGTTTATGAAATTACAAAATGTTTGGAAATAAATAAACCGTTATTATGCGTTTTTCTTGACCTGGCCAAGGCCTTCGATACTGTGAGCCATACACAGATGTTGGAAGCTTTGGAAGCTGCAGGTATACGTGGGGAATCTAAACAATTATTTGCAGATTATTTAACAAATCGAACACAAGGGGTAAAAATAGACAAAACATTTAGCAAAGAAAAAATAGTTAACTACGGTTTACCACAAGGAACTGTTTTGGGACCAATTTTTTTTACATTGTATATTAATAATATTCTTACATCAACTTCTAGTGGTCAATTATTTAGTTTAAAGACGACACCGCCGTTTTATATACCGACAGTGATTGGGACCGTCTAAAAATCAAAGCATGAAGAGATTTATCTAAAGTTTTTGATTGGTTTAAACACAAATTACTAACTGTAAATTATGAAGAAACCTTTTTTATGCAATTTTCAAATAATTCTAGATGTCTCCCTACGTATCAGTCTTTAACTATTCAAAATAATACAGAAAAAAATCATTAAAATCTAATAACAGTTATAAATATTTAGGAGTTACTATGGGCTCACACTTAAGGTGGGATATACATATTGAAAATATAACTAAATTACTAAGAAAACTTTTATACCGTTTTAAATATTTAAAAAACTGTTTAGATCAATAACTTAAAAATACTGTACTATTCTTTAGTTGAATCAAGACTTCGTTATGCTATACTGAGTTGGGGCGGTGCTGCATTTTGCTACCTAAAACAATTTGACATAATTCAAAAACGCATTCTAAAAATAATGTTTAATAAAATACCCACTAACCCATCCAATATGTTATTTTTCGAATCTGGTATACCGGCCTTGAGACAGTTGTTTATGCATCAAATTATTATGTACACTTATAATAATAAAAACCTTTTAAAAAAAGTAATTCACAAGATATAAAGAAAATGATAATTTAAGAATTGTGTTATTACAAAAAAATATTAGTTTACGTTGTTATACTTCCCTATCGCGAAAAATTTACAATGGCTTACCTGAAATTTATAAAGATTATTATGTAATTATATATATATCTATCCATTTCTTAAGGTCACTTGTACAATGAAAATATAATTTTCTTTTTGTAAGATATTTATGCGTCACAAACATTAAGTATTTTATTTTTGTCCATGCACAACCACTCTTTTAGTTTTAATGGACTTAAGTTTTCTATTTTTTTCTAAGATATAATTTATGTATGTATATATATATATATATATATATATATATATTATATTTCATTATGAATTAAATATCGAATATGTCTATATTTTATCTCCCTGTTACTATTTGTTCTACTGTTTGCTTATTATGTTCTATTATTTGTTTTATTACTTGTTTTATGTTATATGCTTTGTTACTTGTTTCATTATTTGTTTATCATGAATTTATCTATTTATTTATTATTCTATATCGAATTTTATTTGTGTTTAAAAAAAAATTTTTTTAAATATCCTAGCTCGCACACAGGCATTACAATGCCTCAGCAAGTTACCAATGTTTATATTTAAATTAACTATGTAATTGTAATTTATATTTCTTTTTTTTTGAATAAACATTATTATTATTATATAATGTACCTTTATCTGAATAAATAGATATTATTATTTAATATCACTTCCTGTGGATGTCATTTAATTTGTTCGTGAATATCCTGCCACTGTCATTTTTCTGGTACACCTTCAAGAAGCATGTGTTTCTGAAGAACTTTTGTAAAGGATTAAGGTGCTATAAAAAGAATTTATTGGATATTGATCTGTTTCATTTGTTGGTGTATCAAGAACTCTCGAAAGAGTATTTAATTTTTGATTAAGCATAAACTCAAATAACAACATCAAATAAGGCCACATTTTAACTTCAGGTAACGTACTCTCTTACAATCATCACTTATTTGCTTTTTCTAATATTTCAGTGTGTAAACTAGATTTTCTATTTAAGCCCTTCTTTTTTCTTTCATTCTTTTCGCTTATTCTTGTTTCAGAACTTTGTCGTGTTTCTGGACATCATTTTGAATTGAGACATTCTCGGCGATATTTGTACTGATGGATACTATTAGACACCTCGTTACCATTGACATCTCTAAAGGTAACCATATTTACTGTAGTTTTCTGAAATTAACAAAACGATGATAAGACGTAGGCTTACCATTGAGGCCAATAAACCATCTCGACACTAAATCATTCCTAAAATGCTTTTAAATCAAGCGCTGGCCATAATTTAAAAAATATACATTCTTTAAACTGTGCCCTGGCTTATTTATATAAGGATAACGTAAACCCCCAGTTAAAATTATTCTAGTTTAACATAGTGACTTCAGTTAAAACAACTTCTAGGACAACCTATAACATGATCACCCTGAGTGCTCGGGAATAACCTGCAAAATCATATATATTTATAACCAAACTTTCTATTTTCATTTACTTGTATTATATTAAACCATTGTTAACCGCACAAATAAATATCTATTTAGGGTGAGATTACAGAACGTCTGCAACTTTGCAGATCTGCAAATATGGCGGCAACTTTGAAAATCTGCAAATATGACTTACACATGCAAGTATCAAGTTTTCGTATTCCAAATTTGGGTTTAGTGTTGTTGGGGTAATAAACCACAATAAATATTGCGAATTTGCAGATATTTTTTATAATACTTGCATTTGTAAGTCCGCCATATTTGCAGATCTGCAAAGTTGTAGACGTTCTGTAATCTCACCCTTAATCGGTACGCAAGCTCTAGATTTCGATACTTAACCTTAATTAAGAATCAATTAAAATACTCCAAATCATACACTTCCTCGAGAAGCATTAAGACATTTCCTTGCTTCATTAGCGACAAAAGGGGGCACAATAGATTTTTTATGTCAAAGTTTATTTGCAACCCTCTTCCAACATTACATAACATATTGTACATATGAAGAATCTAATGCAAGAAGGGGATATGTACAAAATTTTGATGAGTCCTGGGTAAAACCAGATGTTCTTCTAAGGTTTGTTCG